AGAGAGAAGAGAGAGAGAGAGAGAGAGAGAGAGAGAGAGAGAGAGAGAGAGAGAGAGAGAGAGAGAGAGATTACTCTTTAGCGGCATCTGGCGGATATTATTAATATTGCGTTGTCATAATATGGTACTCTGCAAGGGATAGAAATTTTACCCCCAAGTAGTATTTTGTGTACACATGATAGCTATTTCTCGGTCACGAATAAGCATTTTGTGTGCATGTCTGGATGCCTGGATGTCATTGGATCTATTTTATGAGAATACCGATAACTCACATTAAACACATACAGGTAAAACAAGTTTTGAAAGAATGTTAACGTTGCACATTCATTCCTGTGCATGCAAGAGGAGGCGAAAGGCCCTTCTTTAAATTGCTGCTCAGTGCTCTGGAGGAGGTTCAAGAATAGCGATGGATGTCCTTGATGGATACTTTGGCCAAGTTCCGTAAACAATGTGTGCACTCAAAAAGAGTTGAGTGAAAAATAACAGTTTGGCTCATCAATGTGATGATTCCATGTCAAAACTCAGCTTAAATTGTTCCTTCAGGACTCTCCATTGAGGATACCGCGCCAATCATTTTTTTTTTTTTAACTCTTCCTCTATATTGCTCACTTTTACTTCAACACGGACGATCCTTCAGCCAAATGATTAGGCTTTTTCTTTGCGGTCACTTCTGAACTGGTTCTGCTCCGCCATCTTGCTTTTATGGTTTTCACCTTCCACTTGCGTGCTGCCCTTGTATGGCTCTTGTCATATATGTAAAATACATCATTTTTTCCCAATGTCAGTGACACATTGACTTTGGGCAGTATTTTGAGTTGGGTGTTCCCTCCACTGCATGCGCCAAATACACAGATATGCCGGCAACACCAATGACAAGTGGCTTGCTAATGAATTAAGTGGGAAATACAACTCATTCTACAACGTGCCCTTCGGAGTTTGCATTCACTTTTTCAAGTAGCCAACCGTGTCAATACCTCCTTATTGCCGTGGTAACAAACTGCTTGTCCATGGATATATTTTTCAGTGTAGGAGTGAGGTGAGCAGAGGTATGAGACTGACCATAGTGATTTCAACCAGGGTATTAAAAGTGTATGTTGAGTGTGTTTCAATTCTTTGTCCTTTGAGTATTTGGACTGAAGCATGCCAGAGACCCGTTACTGTGCAATGTTTTAAAAAGTGAACGTAGCCATTACAGAGGACACTTCAGACATTTCTGAAATGAGATGCACAAATATGGATTCATGTGATGTGAACATGCACAATGCATTTGTTCCAGCTTACTATATGAACGCCATATATTTCTGAACGTGAATGCTTTAAGTTGAATAGTCACCGCAGCATTTTTTTTTGAGGTGCCCGGTGTGCAATGACAAAAATGTCACGCATGTTCCGTTTTGCACTTATCCCGCTCCATGCACATTCTTGCACGCTTTGTCCGCGAGCGCTGACCATACGAGCCCTGCATGATGGAAACTCGTCGAAGCCTAGAACGTGTCACTTCCGGTGGAATCTTCCAGCGCTTTGCGCCTTGCGCTTTAAAAGGCTGCGTCGGTGACGCTCCCGCGACGTTGACAGGTAAACGTGCTGCTGATGCTGCTGACAGAATAACGTCACGGGAATAGGAAGGAAAATAGTAGTAAAGAAAGAGCGCGCAGTTCGGGGGCGTGTTTAATCGGCATTGATCGCCTAATTTGAGTATTTTCTCTTCTGCTTGGCGCTCACTCCAGGTAAGGTGACGTAAGATGATCAACTCGTAGTCTCACAAAATGACGCATTTAAAGTGAAATTGCACCGTCTGTGACACAGTTGCACCACTTGCAACAGAGCCTCCCTGCGTTATATCATTTATATGATTGCATTTCTGGGAATTTTGCACTAAATGTGTTGACAAGATGGTTGGTGCTGATGGTGCAGCTCTGTGACACCAGGTGCTAAATATTTGGAGAGGCGTTTGAAAAAAAAAACCCAAAAAGCAGTGTGTGTTCGGTCAGATGGAAATGAAAACTAAAGCAACAGTTTGGGTCTGGAAAAAAAAAAGTTTGAAAAGTGGAATATTTGATGCTTTTTCACATACATTGTCACGTTGTCTTTCAGCTGTTGTGATTCAGAGACAGTCATGATCCTGTTGACACCATCCTCCGGTAGGTCCATCAATCTAATCTGGATTACTGTGCACTCGTCTGGGCAAATTGAGGATTGATTTAGGTTGCAGTGAATAAATGGGATGAAGTTTTCTTAAATCATCACTGAACTAACATAGTATAGCCTTGCATGCATTTGTATGTTCCCGTCGTCTTAGCGCTCAAATGGATGTCATGCCTTCCTGTATTTTTCAATTCCTGTTGTTTTTCTGTCCTCTCATTCAGCCTTTCAGTCGATAATAGGTAACGTGGTAGTCTTATGTAACATGGGACTTGCCATCATACATTCATCAGCAATTCAGATGTCGCGAGCTGCTTGAAATTGGCTGAATCTGTGTGCGTTTGATTTCCAGCGACATAGTGTCGTCTCAACAACACCCCTCAAAAGACGAGCTGCATGTTTCTCTTTTGTGATACTCACAAGCCAGTGTGTCTGAAAGTATTTTCAGGTGTCATGCAGAATGGGACGTTTCAGTAAAGTAAAAGCATTCCTGCAGTGAAAAAGTTGTTCGTGGCTGTCTGCTCTTGTCTCATCCGCTGTTTTCTTTCAGATGAAGAATCTCTTGAACTGCCCTGCCTTTGGAATCACAGGAAGTTCAGGGTGAAACTTGCTATACTGGCTGCTACAATGCACCATTTAAATCTATATTGCAACTTTTGAAGTCATGATCTGAGCACACTGTCTTGGACGGTACTATGACATGAGAGAAAGCGGTAGAAAAATGGATCGAAAACAAATATTGATTTGTGGGGGGCAAAGACAGTTTTTTTGGCCGGCGCGAGCTAGTGTCAGCTTTCATTGTATCTCGCTGACTTTGTGTTGATGGCTGCACAGTATGTATGTCGTGTATGTAGCTGTTACTCGAATCCATATTGCAAAAATTAGCGTCACTTTAATATAAAAGAACTTGTAAATGAAACCAAAAGTAAACATTGTCTATTTCAGTGTACTGTATGTTCTCTCAGCAGTAAATTCAAACAAGGCAGGCAAGCTTTTTTTCTATTTTAAAATCGATGCTTCGGTAGAACCTTGTCAATAGACTGGGCCCATTAGCTGCTGCCACATTGTCCTAGGTCACCTCTGTTGATTGGTGCTAGCAGACAAATTGATCTCACGTCTGGTATGTGTCAATGCAGTTGTTGCAATTCATTCACACTCTCACTGTAGCCAATAGTGAATGTACGTAGTTACCCAAATGTCCATTGTTCGTGAGCAGTGCTTGTTTGCGTGTGTGTGTGCGTGTGTGCGTGTGTGTGTGTGTGTGTGTGTGTGTGTGTGTGTGTGTGTGTGTGTGTGTGTGTGAGTGTGTATATATGTGTGTGTGTATGTGTGTACTGACAGAAAAAAAGAATCATGTGAACAACAACTGAACAAATGGTTATCGCACATCCACCTCTCATTGCAGAGGTTCTGGGCTCAAACCCAGGCTCCGGCTTTCCAGTGTGGAGTTTGGATGTTCTTCCTGTGCCTGTTTGGGTTTTCTATATGAGTACTCCACATTCCACAAACGAGGCTCATTGAAGACTCTAAATTGTCCGTATATAGGTGTGAATGCTTGTTTGTCTCTATGTGCGCCCTGCCATTGGCTGGCGACCAGTTTAGGGTGTACCCTGCCTCTCGCCCAAACACAGCTGGGATGGGCTCCAGCACGCTTTGTGACCCTTTTGAGCAGCAATGCCCAAGTCCGGTCCTCGACCACATTTTAATCACGTGCACTCAATGCACATGTTTGAATGCAAGTAAATTCAAACTGGTGTGTGATATGTAGAGTGAGAGAAACCCTTGATAATGTCTGACTGCATAATGGAAACTGTCAAATACAGTACTTCAATGCATATAACAATAACACTGAAAAGCATTGTGTGTTGAATTCACTACCACTTAGATGTGCATTATAGTAGGTGGATAATCTACGTTAAAAAAAAAAAAAAAAGGATGTGGATCAATTTTATTTTGTGCAACCACATGGCAAAATAAAATTGTGTAAATTCAACATTTTTCAGTGTGGCCAACATTTTTTTTAACCAGAGATGCAGGTAAACTTATGTTTTTTTTTTTTTTTAACTGATTCTGAATCTGCCAGCGTTTCTTTTTGCTAGCATATCAGGTCTTTGGATTTATGTAATATGCAACATAGTAATGTTTAGAATTTTTCTGAATTAAGGCTTAGGTTCAACAAGAAGTGGAATTATTTTTTTGGAAACATTAGGCTGTAAATTACAATGCATGGTAAAATCCGTATTGCGCAAACTTTATTCAGTCAAACTTCAAACCCAAAAATGAAAATGTCTCAAAAACCTGATGTGCGAAAAAGAAGTAAAGACATTTTTGAAATAAGCGTGAAGATACAATTTAGTGTCTCTGATTAAAATTTGCTGTTGACCAGTGTAATAGTTAACAAATCTTAGATCGCGTGGGTGGAGGACACTAATGATGCATGCTGTAGGCTGCTAACCCCTGACTAAATGAATGCATTCTTGTTATCCGAATATGGGCGCGTATGTTGTACTGCCGGTTCCCGCCCAATAAACATGTCGTGACAAGTGATGCTTCTTTTATATTAGATAGCAGACTCCGTTTTATGCGATAGGTCGTTTCGTATCCAGTTTTTGCTTTTCACAGCTGAGATTTAACTCAGACTGGGATGAATGGTTCACGTTTCGACATACTAAGGTCAACCGGCACGTTTGTGGGATAGGTAGGGTTTTAGCTTTAGTCTGGCACATAGCTTCACCGGGATGGCTACTAACTGCCGCTGTAATATGATCGCAGGTCTCTTCCAGTGCACCAACAAGTTGTTTCTCAGCGATCAGGCCACGGGACTCCAGATCAAGGAATTTGCTCGTAGAAATGCTGCTAATGCCCTATCAGTTGCCAACATGGTCATGGGCATAGCCTCCATCCTCAGCAGTCTTGATGGGTGAGTCCATGCAGCTCTATTCATTGAAGAATATCCTTTACAGCTTTGTTGCAATAACAGTGATTTAGTTGAAATGCAGGGTTTTTGTGATATACAATAAAAAGATGAGACCAAGATACTGTACATCATTTGAAAACTTTAGCCTCTAATGTGGTTGCACAAGTGTGGATTCCCTCTTGCAAGCGTTCAAAATAAGCCAATCACATTCAGGCTCATTAAACGGGGAGTCACAGCACACTGGCCCCGATGTAAAGTGCCTCTGGTGAACCCGAAATATAATCTCAGACATCCTAGTACGTTGCTCTCTAGCAGAAGCTGGAAAGATTTCTGCTCAGACTGATGGCGGTTTCAAACTGTTCATAATTCCTTCCACATTATGGTGTCAGCTCCAGCTGACGAAACTCAGCCTCAGAGCATGAGGCTGACAACACTGCGCTTCATTATAGGCATGGTGTTGTTTTGGAGGGGATGAATATTGTTGTCTTTGTGCCAAGCACGTTGTCCCATTTCGAATTATGAGCAAATGTTCAACCTTACCTAACAAACTGAAAAGACACTAACACCCTCACAAGTCGTGTTTAAGACACTAATTAGATACGTACATATGCCCTACCGTGGTGGCAAAATAATCCAGACTGCACAAGCACAGCTCTGGGACACGTAATGGACAATCACCCAGAATGCATTGCCCCCTGATGGTGAAAGGTAAATGCCATGATGTAGTGCTATTCCTAATATAGAACGAGCCAAATATAAAAATAACAGATATGAATAGCCAGGCCCTTTCTCGGGTCAACATTTCATTTACATATCCTCATGCATTTTGCTCCCATCAAATAATTCTGATTTGTTTAGGCACCATCATGCAGCATGTTGGTTGATTCTGATTGGCTACCTGCTGGATCTGGCAGATGGAGCTGTTGCCAGGAGGCTTGGCACCTGTTCTGCTCTAGGTAAGTGGAGTGTTGTGGTCGAGAGTGCTTTGTTGGGCTTTTCAGTTTGGCAAAACACAAAGCTCCCTGCTCTAGGACACTAAGCCAGTTAATCATCCGGATTGTCTTCCAAAGTCCGTAAGGCAAACACAGCCTTGAGAAAGGATGCGGATTGCTTTTAAATAATGCAATATGTATTCAAGTTCAGGTTTGAGTAGAAAGTTGTTTGTAGGTTATAATTACTAACATTAAATGTCAAATTAAAAAAGTACCTGCATATAGTTGAACATTTTGACAGTGCTTAACTAAGCTTTCATGACATTTCCGAAAAGCACTCTACCGCAAAAAGTTAAATAGGTTTTCAAATTTTCAGGGAGTGTTCAATCATGATCAAGTTAGACTTACATCAGCAGCGCGGGCACCCGCAGCGGCTCCTCTTGTTGTCTGTTTAAGAGGGAGGGAATTTCATCTGTGCTGTATGTCGCACATACAGCACATTTGACAATAAAGTTGTACTTGATACTTGATACTTGATCAAGTATTAAGCTTGTATGGCCAGTCACTTGACAGTGTAGTGGTTCTTTCACTTGAGTTGATGTATGTGCAGGCAGCGTGGATTCACTTCCCACTCAGGGACGCTGTTGTCTGTCTTTATGCGCCTTGCGTGAAATCGACTGCGATAGACTCCATTTCCCTGCAACACTCAACACGATTATCCATCCATTATCCAAGCCGTTTATCCTCACGAGGCTGGAGCCTATCCCAGACGTTTCCGGCAGTTGGCGGGGTACATCCTGAACCGATTGTCAGCCAATCGCAGGGCACACAGAGACCAGTGTTGGTTACAGTGAATGAAAGGTGAAAATGAGAAGTTTGCTTAAAAAAAAAAAAAAAAAAAAAAGATACAGAAAACCAGATAACCCTGATATACTCAAAAACACTCATGGATGACTGACAATGCAAGTAACAATATTTAATGTTTTCATGCTCAGTCTCTTGTTGCGGTCATGGTCGTTGGGGAAGTTGCTTCGAGCTGTTGGACTCTTTTTGCTTGTTAGTAAGCAGCGTGACTCAATGGCTGTTTGTCAACATCAAGAATGAGGAGTACAGTCTTTTGTACTCGGCACGTACGACCTTCCTGGGACTGTACTTTGTGAGTCTCTTTGTATTCAGAACAGCTGTGTACTTGCAAACTTGGCCCCAGCTCTGACGTATTTCCGTAAAATGATTAAAGGGGGCGAAATAAATGACTATGAACTATGAAGTGTAAAAAACTAAATTGAACTTTGAACTTGTTCGCACAGAAAATGAGCTTTCCCAACACTGGGTGTATCATAGAAAGTGCAAAATGATGTTTCCTCTTCACAGAGTGCTTCATTTACTCAAACCTCAGAAGCGCATCAGATGAAAGATGCTTGAATTGACGGGAGAATATACGACAGGCCAGATTTGATGTTTTTGGTTTGCTCGACCCAGAATGCGTACCCGTCAATGACCGATTTAAGCCGATGGGGGAATCCAAGCAGCCAGAAAAGCATGCATCTGCGCGCCTTTTCCCACTTTCACACATGGGAGAATACAGCCCGTAAAGCTTTTGAGTTTTCATTCAGTTTTCTCATTTGAAAAGCTCAGCACTTCGGTCGTCCTCTCACAAGTCACAATAACTGCATTTTTTTTCCTCAAAAGCCCAAAATAGCTCTGAGGTGCATCATCCATTGTTGGCTGCACATGTTAGGGGGCTTTGTGTCTGTGCCGTGTTTTTCTGCATGACTTTGCAGGTGAAAGTTGTTTTGCCCTCTCATGTATTATGTCAAATGAACTTTGTGATTAGGTAGACTAATTCCACTGGATGGCCTCTCAATTGTTCATGTGATCCCATTGCTTTGGTTTCTGTGCATATCTGAAATTGCTAAAATGGTTGACCCTGCGCTTCAGAATGCCACCTCGTTCAATGCAGCCGTGGCCCGACTCACCTCTTCCTTGTCTGCTCAAAAGCACGCCCGCTTCTCCTGAGGGATCAAGAGACAAGGCAGTGGAGAATGTTGTTTGCTGAATGGCCGCTGACGCTGAAATTCCCGCATTGCGGATGACCGTGCGGCGGAACACCGTGTTCAGTAAAATACTGACAATTTTTTGATCTAACTCGTCTTGTCTCGTCCCCCTTTCTTTCTCAAGGTGCAAAGCTGGATGATTTTGCAGATTTCACAACGTTTGGGATCGCCACATCCCTGCTGCTGAGGACGCCCGACCTGTTGGATCACATCCTCTGCATGTGTTACATCCTCTCAGTTTTTGTTCGCCTCTGTTTCTTCTCGAGCGGTGAGTTTCTAAAACCGAACCTGACTTCCCAACGTGAGCAGATCAGCTGCCAGGGTTTGGATGTTTGAATTCATTCTTCCAGCGTGGTTTTCAATAAATACGAAATAGATACTGAGGGGCAAGAGATGAAGACGAGGAGGTTCTCAGAAGTGACCATGGTGGATAGCATTAGAAAGAAGCTCATCAGAGGGACAGCCAAGTTGAGGGTTTGGGTGTTGCGCCACCTGATGTATTTTAAAATTTGATCTATTTTCCATACCAATAAAGCTGTGTACCGAATGATTCACAAGTCAAGTGACTGATGTGATCGTAACCGTCATGTGCTATGTCACATTCATGTCAGAGCTTTTCCGTGTCCCATAGCTAAGGTAGGGAGGAGTCATTTTTGTCCGTAAAGTTTTGTACTTGTATGTTTTATTTTATGTCTGGTGTGCACTTTTTTTAATTGTATTTTTTTTAACGTTTCGTCAAGACAATTCATTAGGAACACGCCAACATATGGCCCACAGAGACAACCTCTAAACTTGAGTGTTTCTCATCTCGGCCTTCAGGAATCCCATTCATGTATCGTGGACTGCCCTGCATCTACTCGGCGGGCGTCCTCGCCAGTGTCTCGTTGCTGTCGGGCAACAACACGGCCATGCTGCGTGTCCTCGCTGTGGCCATGATCCTATTCATGATTAGTCAGAGTTTCTACCCTCACGACCGAGTGCTGGAGTCGCAGGCCTGGAAGAAAGTTGTCTATGCTGGAGGTAAGGCCATTCTTTTCTCATTGCTGTCTAAAAAAAATGTCTTTCGATGCAATGTGATAATTTTAATGGTATTGCAATGTGATGAGCATGTTCTGTTAGTTCAGTACAGTGAAATGGTAAGTGGAATTGTTCAATTTGTTGTTTCTGCAAAATGCTCATTAGCATTGAGCACAATTGCAGCTGGACATATGATGAGTCAACCTTAAATATAACTTCAGCTTGGACTCTCAAAATGAAAACAAGACCTACTTGGGTGTGTATAAGTTATACCTAAAGTTGGAACCAGCCCATACTCAAAAAAGGCGCCAAACAATATGGACGGAGCAGTTCCAACTGCTCATATCTTTTCACACCGTCAACGTAAGGCTTCTACTTCCATGATGTTATCTGAGAGCAGCAATGAAAATCAGAAGAAAAGAAGACATAACCCGGCAACATACTTGTCTTTCTTCTTTTTTTAATCGTCATACAATATTGTACCGTACCAATGTGGAATGTTGCGTTTGTCCTTTTTATTGAATCTTTATTTAATATTGAACTTATTGGCAGATTGGAGAACCAAGCACTGAGAGTATCCAAATCTTTTTATTGCGTCTGTCACACAGGAAATATAAAAAGTGCTGCAGTCAGAATAGGGAAGCACGTTAACACACAAATTTGTAATTTCATTACTGTACTGTATTAAATATTAAAATCCTTTTTGAAATATAAAAAGATGCACCATCTTTCACGCCTATTGGCGCCACGTCGCCTTGGCATTCATTTGACTGACAACACATTGTCTTCTCTTTACTAAATTCTATCCCCCCACTTTTCATTTCCCCTTTTTAGGAGTGGTCATGCTGTTCTGCTCATTCTTCCTCCCTCCCTGTGTGTACTACCTACTGTGGTCTATCTCCTACATTTTGTTCCCAACATCCCTTTGGAGCAGTAAAGTGTAAAAATGAGAAGGTGGCCAATTCCAGACTGCGGCTAGCTGCCATGGAGGCTCACCAGAAGCTCATTCACCACAAACAAACACTGCAGTATTTAGCATGCCCCACCCCCTTTTTTTTAAATATTGGATGTGACACCTTGCAGGGAGAATCCAGATGAGAAAGACAGATATCCTGACACGATTAACTCTGATGCTTTCTCTAAAGGTGAACAAGATAAATCTTGACCCACCCCCAGCTTAAAATTAATTGTGATCTGATTGGTCTCTGATGTGATGATCTCTACAGTCTTAATCCAATTTCCTATCAGTGTTATGCAAATGGCCGCAGAGTGCCAAATAAATTAAATGACATACACACATTGTACTCTTGTACCCAATTTGTTTTGCAGATATTGTATCTGCAATCACGTACAACATCCTAACCTCCATGGATAGAGAACCCACGCAACATTTTCTTTGTGCCAAATTTGGTGTTCTCTCTATTTTGTTTTTTACAGTATTCTAATGATGGGAGAATGAAGCTTCAAATTTGCTTCATGAACCAGGTGTATTTTCTTTTTTACTTCTCTTGATGGCACTCTGTGTTCAACATCGAGCTAAAAGCACACCGCCTGGTCATTACTTTAAATGGTCTTTTCTTTAACCTCTTCATTTAAACCAAAAATGCCACCTGGAGGAGTCAACATACAACAATTGGTCCATGAAACAAATTTGAAGCTTTATTTTCCATCATTACAGTTTCAACAATCAAGATGGTTTGCTTAAAGTGGGCGTTTGACATTTTCGTTAAAAAACATAACAAAAATAAAAAACAAAAAAACTTTGTCACATTTGCCAAAACTGGATTACCAGACAACAGTTAACGATCAATGATCGTCTCTGGCCCTATCTTGTGCCTATTATGTGACGAGTAAGAAAACACCATACCTGAGGAAAAACAACCAACCGAGAGAAGACTGGACTTACAAGGTGTCCATCATTTGATGTGCACTCAGAGCAGGCACACGATGCGGCCGACAGTTGACCTGTCTCCTTGTAAGCACCTGATTATTTTTTTGGGACTGCCAAGTCATAATGACAGTTTAATAAATATGATTTTTTTTTCTTTTTTTGAAAACTGCCTCCTCGACATTAACTATTTCCGACAGCAAATGTTTGATCACACTTGGGAACATTCTTTGTTATTCTAGCATCAGTTTTTTAAGTGTCACTGGAAGTGAATTGTTCTCTTTTCTCCCATGCAATTAGTGATTTAGGGACAGTTTTTAGATTTTGTTTTTTATAGCCTGTTTTAGGAAGGTTCTGAGTTGAAAATCCACACAGGATTGTCCGAATGTCATACTCTAACTGCAAGTGAACAGTATAAAGAGAGAGTGAAGTGGTCAGAAGCTTGATGCAAATAACAGTAACAGGCAATCTTGACTTCATTCCGTGGTGATCATCTTTAAGCATAAAGATTTGCAAGTTCAACCGACACATTCCTTCTGTGAAAGTCTTATAGTGTTGAATCTTCTGTAAGCCATGGTTCTCTTGAAGCTCTTTGAAAATTTATATATATATCCTCCTGGGACCTGGCGTCCACATGTGTGGACATGACGTTTTGGGTTGTCAAGACTACAATGTTAAATTTTGGACTACAAGGGCCTGGCGTCCACTTACGAGGACGTTACATCATGTAAAAAGATAATTCTTTGTTTTTACACTCATCAGGTCCCAATTAGCCTAAATATCAAAGAGAAAATAAAAATAAAATAAAAATGCATGCCTTGCAAGAGTTCAGGTCTTAGGAGGATATATATATATGTACCGTATATATAAGAGGTTTGTGTGACTTGAGTTAATCACATTGTCTTGTTGACCTGCTTTGTAGTTTAAAAAATAGCAAAAAAGTGACTGTTTAATGGAATTTATTCAATAGACTGTTCATAGACAAACAGTATTTAGCTTTACGTGTTGTCAAGTAATATTTGAAGAAAGAAATATCGATGTGGCACTCTGACACAATCATTTCGACAATTTCTTTTGCTGACGGTTGCTGCATTGTTTAAAATGTAGACAGATTAGACAACTTGCAATACATGTAATCACAATTCACGAAGATTTTGTGTGATTTATCAGCGAGAACTTTTTAATTACTCTATTTTGGAAATTATTAATAGCTGAAGCTTTTCTTATACTGTTGAATAACAAATGATTAATAAAAAATAAATATCTATACAAATACAAAACTTGACTCTTGTGATTAATCTCCAGAATCTTCTCTTGAAGTAAGTACTAGATGTTGGTTTGACTTCACCAAGGATTGGTTGCCAATCAATCGCAGGGCACATATGGCAGCAAATGGGGTTATGGATTTGGAGAGGAAATTTCGAGTACCTAGTGAGTAGCGGTTAGCAAGAACGCAATTTTTTTTCATCATTATTTTTGGCCGTCGGATTTGTTCTGCTCTTCTGTGACACATCATCGACGATGAAATTTGGGGACCCACACTCACAATCTGGTGGCACTTTCTTTTTAAGCTTGAATGCATACTGTGTTGAGTTCTATGTTTTTTTTGTTTTGACGTAATGTTGTAGAGCAAGCGATGAAAATAAAAAGCTCATCATGTTTTGTTTTGTTTTGTTTATTTTGTCTTTTTAAGAGTCTTTTTTTGGACTTGCTGACTGTACGTGGCTCACTGGCAGCTGGCGGCCACAGACGCTTCCAAAGTTTGGATGAAGCGATGGACATCACTGAAGGAGTTGTAGAGTGGCACCGGGGCGATGCGCAGCACACTCGGGTGACGCATGTCACACTTTTTTTTTTTGGGGGGGGGGGGGGGGGGGGGGGGGGGGTAGAAGGAAACACAATGTCACACAGGTTCCCATCTTTCCCCAATGAAATAGATGGAAAGGCCACTAACGTGTTACAGAGATAAAGATAAATAATTATAGAATTAAATCGAATGTAAAGAATTAAAGAGTTTGTGCATCATGATTGATTAATGGAGGCTCCTTCTGGTATGCACTACTTGGCCACCGTACAGAAGTATAACAGTCATGCCGGGAAAGGAAAAACAGTCATTCACACGCCACTGTAAACGGCTCAGTATTTTGCGATCATTTCGTCATTTTTCATACAAGATAAAGAACATACACCGGTGTTGGTCTGTCTACAGGTGTTGCTACACCATTTGTGTTCAAATCCATCAGTTTCTTAAAGTAAAATAATGCTGCCCACCATATAGATGCTATTTGTTAGCCCGTCTGAGATGATTTCTACACAACACTCATACCTCAAATGTCAAAGCGAGTAATAAAACTGAAGTATTGTTGTGTACTCTGCTGCTATGCGCTGCTGTTCCATGTGTGCCAAAGTAGCAGCTGTTCGAAAATTCAAAATTACCATAACATACGCCAACATTTCTTATTATATGTTAGCGTTAAGCTAGCAGCCTTTTGTTACAGTAGATGAAATGAGAAATGAGAAGGTTTGGTTGCACATTTGGGTGTTTAAATGTACCATGTTTCATTCTCTTCTGAACAGGCGCTAAGGAATACTTTAAACAGCGTGTTTTCATAAGCTTGAATGTGTCATATAAAATGTATTAAATAAAATACTATACTGTACTTTACTACACACTAAATGAATGCATTATACAAAGAAGTTTTGTTCGATGGGCTGTCTTTATTTCTGACTTTCGCCTCTTGCAGGTGTGCCTGGGAACACATCTCACGCAATAAACGGAGGTCGACTGTACTGTGTAATACGATGGTGATTCGAGGCTACTTACAACCACACCCCTCCTCTCCAGCTGATGGAAGATTCTTTGGATGGGCACAGAGAAGCAGAGTGACAGCTGGCAGCCTCTCTGCTGCGGGTCAGATGGCGTGATGATGCGCACCTGAGGTTTGCCGGCTTGGGCGGGATCCTCATTATAGTAGTGGCCAATTAGATACTCTAAGTAGCCCGTTAGCAACAGGGACTTCCTGCGTAGTAGCTGCATGCTGGTCATGTTAAAAACCTGCAAGACAAACAATACTGTCACCGTTTCAATTTCAAGTGATGAGTACTGTAATTTGAAGACAAAAACATTATTTTTTAATCCTACACACACAATGGACAGCAGTACCTCCAAACTGGCCTGCAGGGCGCACACAAGGAGAACGGGCTGGTTGGACAGTCTGAAGCCTTTCACTCCGGGTTGCAGCTCCAACTCTGCATCATGTAAAATGTATAAATATGTGAAAATGATCATGGAAATACGTGAAACGTATGATGTACAAACGTGAAAAGTACAACATGTGACAAAGTTGGCCTCATGTAGGACTCCCGTAACTTGTGTTGTGACCTAGGGCCTATCCTGCAGCAGGACACAGAGGCAGGCGCTTCTGCATGCAATGGCACGGAACCTGGAGTTACTGAGCTTTTTACAAAATTGCGGCGTACCAGAAGATGTCCTCAGACGCATGGAGCAAGAACATGTAAGGGTATTTTCACATTGCCCATTAATGACAAGTTTTTAGGTGATAAGTTCCTGGTGTGGCAGCAATACACTTCCATAAACTGCCACCACAAGATTGCAGTGGTAAAGAAGAAATGAGAAATGTGTGTTTACCATTGCTCATCTGGAAACGAGTTTTTAAGTCATGACCCCACCACCCCGTCAGCCTGCAAGGACAGTATGACACAGAGAGTCATAATGCTACTAAGTACGATTGGGTTTTCACCGCATGGTTCAAGTGACACAATTCGAATATGCACCGTGGAAGTGTAAGGACGGGGGAAGAAAAAAACATTAAGCATCACATAAGCATCAGAAATCAGCCAAAGTGAGTCCAGCGTAAATGCAGAGATCAGAGGTACCCTGTCATCGATTCTTTCATTTAGCATCGCCTGCTTATCTTTTTTTCCAAGTCCAACCCTCATATCTTGAAATACAGTATCTATTAAGTTGATGTAATGGTAAGACAAAGATGTTACAACAATGGACTTTTTACATACTTACATCATTCTTATCATCCGGATTATTTTGCACACTTGATGAAAGGCAACACATTCATTCTGGATGTGTGCGACTTGGCATGTGCATGGAAGTTGGCCTGTTATCGCCATCCAGCCTTAGCTCAAGGACAATACATTTCTTTGGCAATAGTCTCAACCTCTTTTATAATGAAGGTTAAATGTAATTTTCGTGAGGTTTTAGGTTCACTTTGTGAGTTTGGATGATAGAAGAGAATTAGTCAGGTGTTTGGGTTTATTGTGTTCTCCCTTACTGCTTTCAAGAAAAATACCTTTGGTGTTTGTTTTTTTTTTGTTAGTTGCCTGACCAGCAATCCCATATAAAAATGTGTCGATGGGAAAAGAGAACAGTGCACTTACGCAGCTTTGATGGTGTACTGATGTTTCTCATGGATGAACGCCCCAGCGATCCCACCGCAACCTGAGTTTAAATACTGGACAAACATGGACATCAATTTACAAAGTTGGTCATCATACGTGGCCGGTGTCAATGTAGCGTATGCGGTGACCTTGTAAGAGCACCAACAAGCAAAGTCCACACCCCACTCGTGCAGCTTCAGCTCAACGTTTCCTGCTGCGTGGGCCAGGTCGAAGCCCACCAAGCAGCCCTGGCCAAACAATGTTGTCGTTATCTTCGGTCCATACAAGTGAATTGGACTGTTATTGTTTTACGTTCTTCTCACCTTGTTCTGGGCAGCCTTGGTGATGGCGGCCATGTTGAACAGCTGACCAGTGTAGTACTGAACTCCACTGAGCATGACTAACGCCACAGAGGCGCCCTCTTTCTCGATCACGTCCAGGATGTCCTCTGTTCGTAGAGTCTCCTCCCCCTGGAAACCAAGATTTAGTTAGCGCCATTTTACATGACTTCTGATTGAAAATTCTATTTGTTCTGAAAAATACCAACGATAACAATGAAACGCGGGGCCAATTGAGATCATTTCATTATGTTTGCAAATGATAGGTTGGGCTCTGTCTTCTCGGCAATAAGATTTACCGGTCTGGGCTTCAGCAGCAACATGCTCTGCTCAGGGTCAAATCCTCGTAGTCGGATCTGAGATTCGGCAGCGTACTGACAAGAGACAGCATCGTAGCATGATGTCAATCTTGCCAAGCAGTCATATGAATGACTCGGACTATTAAAGTCACTCACATGGTCCGAAGGGAAGGCTTTGTCTTCCAGAAGTATCTTGTGCCGCGCAGCAGTGGGTTGGTAGAAGGAAAGCTACCAAAGCAAAGTCAGATGTGTGAAGCAAGTTCTCATGTCTTACATCAGTGAATTTGTCTGCTTTTGCACCATCAGCAGGTGTAGGTTGACCGTCAACCCGTTCATCAACGCAACCTCTTCTGGAAGCGCTCCTGAGAAAAACACACACACACACACACACACACACACACACACACACACAGCACAAAGGCAATTTAAAGGCCATTTTACTGGAAGTCTGAGTAAGTCCAGGTCCAAAGACTAACTTTTTTTTTATTATACTGGTTGCATTTGAATAAACACAACTCAAATATGTGGGAATCTGGAAGGTTACATTTAGCTGCCACAGCTGCCCGTATTGTACTCACTGCATGACAAAAACAAGCAAAAAATGAGCCCGCTGATACTTTACCATTGGAAACCATATGGTGGCAAACCCAATTCAATTGTATTGCTTATTGTATTGTGTTACCGACAACTCTTGCCATGAGCACCTCCAGGTTGTTCTCAGCCCAGGCCCAAGGCCGTGACCCCTGCATATGGCCGTGCACGCCCCTGACAAACACACACTCCATCAAACAAAGTTTGTTTTTCACCATTGTGGCAGAAATGACTTGCTGTACATTTTGGCCCACTTGTCCAGCTCTTCCTCCAAGTACTTCTTGACCATTTTGGGCTGCAGGCCCAGCGAGTTGCCAACCAGGTAGATGCTGTCTTTGGCGCCATCTACCAGCGACAGATCCGCTGTGGGTCATACCAACAACGTCACGTTTCCACGCTGCAACATGTTGCAAGTTGACACACTCCGACATGTGTTACGATTTGTTTCTCTCCTAGGGGTGTCAAAACGTTTTTCTTCCAAGAGCCACATACAAAAAAATGGAAGGAAACCAGGGCAACTTTGAAATTCTTTAACTTGAACTGAATAAATCGGATGAAAGCAAACCATCATGCAGGGGTTTTCCTCCGACATGACAGCTTCCTGCTAAAGGTATTCATGAAAATAGTTTAGGATTTGGGGGTGGCCCGCTGCCCCGCATCACACTAGAATAGTTTTGCCCCTACTGTGAGCAGCAACCAAATCGCAGCCCCAAAGTCGAATCAAAAGTAAACTGACAATTTTTAAGCAGTTTACTTGAGTATCGGTCACGTGATACATTCGCCAATCAGATTTTGACCATTTTTGCTTGTGAAACGAAGTACCTGTATGCCATTTCTGTTACAAAGAGAAATGTCCTTACAATATAAAGTCGTAGATATTTGCACACTACAGCGCAGAAAAGCTCCAAATAAAATCAAATTAAGATCAATTGTTCTTATTTGCAATAGTAATACAGTAGTTGTCGGGGGTGTCACACTGACGGGGGATATGTGTGACATCTTGGGCCATCTTATTGATCTGACCTCCTTCTATCATATCAACCCTCGCAGATACTGAGGTCATCTGGCACTGGCCTTTAACGTCTTCTCAGGGTGAGGACCAGAACACATGGTGAGGCTGCATTCAGCCATTTTGGTCCCCAGCTATGGAATAGCCTGGCAGAGGACATCAGGTCCGCAGACACTGCTGATGTTTTTAAGAGGAGGCTGAAGGCACATCTTTTTAGCTTACCTTTTGAATAACATCTTTGAATTCTTTTGCATCAAGTTCTTTATTTTATTTGGGTTTTTTTTTTTTGTAAGCTCTGGTGTTTCCTCATGGTGGGGGGCTCCACACTGGGAGGTGTGGCAGCTGTCATTCTTGTCAGCGTGAATGAACTCCCCTTGGGTGCTCTTTTTCTCATGTGGTTTCTCTGTGTCTTGCCATGTCTCTTAGTTCATCGGGGGAAGTGTGTGTTTTGTGTGTTAGTGTGCATGTGTGTGTGCGCGTGCGAGCCCAGGCATGCTTGTGGGGAATATGTTGAGGGGAGTGGGAGGGTTCTCTTTTTATGATGTATTTTTGATGCTTTGATTGTTTCGCACTATGAGTTGCATTTCTATACTGTATATGAAAAGTGCTATATTAAATAAAGTTTGAGTGATTGATCTTTCAACACTTAACACTTTTCACAATACAAACACTTTTTGCGTTCAGTAGCGTGGCAGGCCATGTTGGGCTGTAGTTTGGACACCACCGTTTTACATTGTCCACACAATTGCTGTCTTGTATTGCTTGTCTTTCAACGTGTTTTTTTTTCTCATATTGTTGTTTTTTCTTTCACAATACAAAGAAAGGGAAAAAGTTATGAAATATAAGGGGAAAAAAAGCATTGTCCACTCACAGGTAGGCAAATCTGCTATTTTTGGCATGAAAAAGTTCTCTCTTAGGTGTCTTAATTCGTCATGGTCGTCCAAGAAGGCGGCCACCCGTTCAGAAGTCGTCGGGCAGCCCAGCGAAGCGGCCACCTTCTCCACAGTTTCTCTCACAGTCAAGCCAGAGAGCTGCTCCATTGCTGCTTCTCGGTCAGCCTGCGCACTCGCACACACTTTAACATGAATACACAGCATAATGATTGAGTGCTGGGCCTCTCTCACATTCGCGTCCATTTCAAAGTGGCTTCATTCCGTTTTGAATTCTGCAGCAAATCCAGCTTTGTTTAACGTCTTCCTCTCCAACGGCACTCGGTATAAGCTTAATGTCGCTAAATGGGGAAAACTGAGAAGAGCTCTTGCATTTTTTTTCTTTTTCATCAGTCTTAAAGAGCTGAGGTCATTGTGATATCTTTCATGAGGACAGAGTAAAAGGGGCTTTGTCTTTTTTATATTTGGAGCTGTGGATGAAGTATTTAGCAAACAATAATACGCTCTTTAAGATCAGTTCACATATTGCGCTGTCTGTCTTCCTTAGCAAGAGGAACAGCTAGGTGATGGAGTTCTTATTTGGCCATATTGGGTAGAGAGTTTCAGTCAGAAAAAAAGACTAACCCTTTGTTCGTTTTTTTTCCTTAGCCAAAAAGTCATTATTGTCAAATGTGAGAAGATTTGAATCTGTCATGTAAAATTGTTTGTCTCTGTTTTGAACCAACGATTTAACTGATGTTGGGATTGCTTTCTTATCACTTTGTTATCTTATCTGGAACAGAAGTTTACATGAGATAGCCTGCAGTTCCCTCGGTCATCAACTAACTTTATTTTTCAGTTTCAGCCTAAAGACGGACACCATCCCAAAAGAGCCGTACGCAGAAGCAAAGGTGGGTAAAGTAGCTAAATATTGTACTCCAATAAGAATTCTGTTACTGACTAGAAGTAGAAAATAGTGAGCTACAGTGAAAAACTACTTAAGGTCTTTTTTTTAAAACCTAAAACAACAAATAAAATGGTCCGAATTATAATAAATATAAATACTGTATAATAAATAAATAAAACATTCTTCGTTAACACATGTGAAACAGCACACCGGGCTTTGCTTCGGTCTCTCACTGTTGTCGAGACTGTAAATAAAGCACCGGAAGGCTCTCCAGCGTGCGATTGAAACTGAGTCGGACATTTACACCTGCAGAGTCATCGGGAGAGCACCCAACTTCCGCAGGGACAATGCACCTTGTCTTCACACTGCTTCCCTTAAGGAAGCACTTCAGGAGTGTGAAATGCAAGGACCACAAGACTGACAGTTTTTTCCACTAGGTGATCAGAATCCTGAATCGCAATTGCACATCAACTCTGAAAGTGCTGCCCACAGACCTCACACACATGCTGACAGTTGAAATATAAACACACACATTGTAATTTATGCCCCAAATAAGGTTTACATTTTTCTCATTATGATGTCCCTTTTTATTCTTTCTCTCTCTCTCTCTCTCTCTCTCTCTCTCTCTCTCTCTCTCTCTCTCTCTCTCTCTCTCTCTCTCTGTCCCTATGTTTTATATTCTTGTGATTGTAAAGGGAGGCATTCAAGTAAGAATTTCAGTGCATGCTGTATTTTACATGCACATGAAAATAACTATCTTTCAATCTCGGGGCACACTGGTAGGAAATCAGTTTGTGTGAGGTTCAGAACTTTCTTGGCAATCCACAAGGTTTTGCCTTTTCATCTTATTTGCTGATCTTGGGTGAAACCTGTCACCACATAACAAATGACATTCTCGATAACCACATGGAGCTTCAAACAACAAAGCGCGTGAGCGAAAAGTGGTTAAGATTGCACACTATCCGTGTTTTTATGTTATGTTTTCTATTTATTATTTACTTTTTGTTAACTGTTTTGTAAAGCGCTTTGTTACAGCTGCAGCTGTTGTGAAAGCGCCATATACTGTAAATCATTTATTGTATTGTATTGTATTGGAACTATATGGGCTGCAGTTATGGTTACTAATTCTAATGTTGATAATGAAATGTCGACTCCCAACGCCAAGCCCTCAGGGAATGTGAAGACTAGAGTACAGTACAGTACAGTACAATACAGGAAATTAAGTGAACCGCAACCGATGGGTTGTGAAATTGGACTTGCATATACCACATATCGGGTACAGCACTTTCCACAACCCACATTTTGTTACGATAAAGAACAGAGACAGATAAACTGTTAAGTAAAAGAGTACTGAATAAAATACACGGGACAATTGGCGACCATAAAGTTGTACAGTAACTCACAGTTGATTTGCAGATGTTCCTCTTCTGCCGGCAGCCAATCGTCTGATCCAGAGGTGCTCTTTCACCCCTGAATCTTTCCTTCCAGTTAATAATTGTTATGACCTCCAACTCAAACGTGATTCATTGAGTGCACGACTTGTCAGTCAAAGTCTTCATGTAACTTGGATGTTTAGACGTCTATTTCAGTGATCCGGCGAGAGCTCATCATGTGCACAGCAGGAAACAATCATTATTGTCTCAATTGGTCCTCAAATTTTAGAAAACTATTTTTTATTTACTACGCACAATGTGTCTTTATTCATTGGGCAGAACAATTTAATGTTCTTCTACTCAACGCCAGCGGGTACATTTGGCATCTGATGCCATGCCAGTCATAATACCTTTGTGGTCGACAAAACATTCTCACACTAAGAACCTTTGTGAGTAAATTAAGACAAGATCCCTTTTATTTCGTGTATCGGTCAGATCTAAAAAAAAAAAAAAAAAAGGTTGGTGACAACTGATAAACCAGCTCGCGCAGTCATTGGAAGGACTGTACTATATAGAACAGGGGTGTCAAACTCATTTCACATGGTGGGCCACATACGGCCTCGGTAGATGTCAAGTGGGCCGGACCATTAAAATGATACAATACTTTGCTATAAATAACCAAAACAATATGTCTTTCCTTTGTTTTGGTATAAAGAAGCACAAGAACATTAGGAAAATGTTGAAATTTAATGAACATATCTTTTACAAAACATTTCATGAAGCACCCTACATTTCCTTCGACAAATGTGCAATTTACTTTTATCATTCACATATATGCATTGCAACTGATCCCACTGATTGTACAAACTTTAACAAGTAATTGGTATTGAAAAATATAGTAATGCACTTTAAGATTAAACAAGATTCATAAAGAAAGCAAGTTTTAAAGCATTTACACGTGCATATAAAATCTAAATGTAATCCCTGCCTACACCTTACAAACTAAGGAGAGTGCTATTAAATGTGTAAATGTGAGAGTGCTATTGATAGCGTCTGCTGTCATGGGTCTGTCTCAGTGACAGACTGAGGCTGCTGTTGTCTTCTTCTCTGATCAAAACAGTGTCCCCTTGCGGATACTCAATGAATTGCACCTGATTAAAAATATTAATTCTGTGTCTTTAATGCATTTTTTTCACTTTTACATTATCCTGCGGGCCTGATTGAACCTACTTGCGGGCCGGTTCCGGCCCGCGGGCCGTATGTTTGACACCCCTGCTTTACATAATCCTCTCGCGGGCCGGATTAAACTCCTTTGCGGGCCGGATCCGGCCCGCGGGTCGTATGTTTGACACCCCTGGTATAGAAGGAAGGAGGGGCTGGATTTCAAACCTGATGTGACCTCTCGGCCGTGTCAGCAACTCTCTCAAAGATCCACGCGATGGCAGCAACACCTCTCTAATACTGATATCCATATGCTCAGTAATAAGAGTTGAGGTACTGTGGAAGTCACGCTAATAAGTACCCGTAGTTCTAATTCACCTCATTTACTGAAGCAAAAGTGTGCTGTCCTCATGACACGTGACTATGTTCACATAGACACCCAGTGAACCAGGAAAGAAAACTCCGTAAACGAGGCTTACTTTTCTTGCTTTTATGAAGTCTCTTGGGCATCAAAATGCAAAACGGTATACCTGGGATAATGTGTTTGTGTGAGTGGTTAAAAGTCGAAAGTCTTCCATGGATCGGGTGCACTCACCGAGTCTATGAGCTATTCTGAAGCAACTGCAACGACAGCTTGTTTGACAGATCAGAAACACGTCAAAGATCCACTATTAGCAACAGATGAGCTTACACTACAAAAAAGGCGAAATCATCCACGAATAACTGACCTCTCCCTCTCACATTTTTATCCCAAAGTTCTCACAGTTTGTACGATGAAATAGACTAGAAGAAATAACCTTATTTATGATCAAATCTGAATTTATTTACAACGTTTCAATCAACACATCAAACTGGGAAAATATGAATGTCCCTTACCCAGAAGACATGACAAAAAGTACAGGCTGAAATGTACTAAAATACCAAAATTTACTGGCAATTATAAAGAATCGTTTTGAAAACTTCTTACAATTAAAAACCTGCACAGATAATAGTCCCCCTCTTAACCTTTATCAACAAACAGTTCTCGTAAATAACTTTCTTGACATATTATGTTGCTGTCGTCGTTCATGCTCCCTTAGTTGTACCTCACAGCTGCTCCCTTTTTTCTCCGCTCTAGACATTTGGAAAATCTACTTTAGTACAGTAACAAAGTCGGCCTACCTCCTTAGAGGTCGAAGTAGTACAGGCGTAGTTTCTGCTATGAATTGCAAACGACTGAAACGTATTTCGAAACAGGACCAGGTGTCACCCAGCCGTGAAAAAACGTATCGTGAGAAAGTCTCACGTTCGCAGTGTGACTGAGAACATGAGTGAACATATGCTTCGCTTCTCAGCTCTGTGATTTGTTTTCTTTCTTCTTTTCTGCGCAGCACCTGATGTTTAGCTCCGTAACAGTATGGGAAGTAACCAAGTAAACAGATGGGTTGAGCCAGAAATTCTTCAATTTGGAGCCATTGGCATGGAAACAGTGAAATGTCACGCCAATCTTTCAAGCAAGTCGTAAACTATCCAGTTAGACACATTGCGATTAAAGTTCGTGCTTTTACTAAATGAAATATTTTGAGCATCGCGGGAACAATAACACGTCTGTTCTCTTCATTGCACCCATCATCCATCTTTTTTCTTCGTTGAAGGAGCTGCTAATGAGTGTTTAAGTTGACGGGGTTCCACCACGGCCACTCTCCTAGTTGCCTCCTCCCCTCTCCCTCGCTCCTTGCACATTTTGCGCACGATCAAAGCACCGCAGTCTCCGAAGAAAATTCAGGCTCGAGATCGCAGCCCGTCACGCTTTTTGCAACTTTTGCGCCAGACCTTGGATGGCACCGTGCGACTGAAGGCCGCCTGTTGTGTGTTTTTCTCACGCAGCCATGAAGAGTCCAGGGCACATTTTGATCTCTGACTTGTTCATGCTTATTCTTGCGGCACACTCTTTTGCGCAAAACGGTGAGTGGATCTTGGTGTGTTTTTAGCGAGCCTGAAAGTCAATCGATGTTTTTTTGAAAAATAAAAAGTAGCTAAATATCGTAATCAAATTGTTAAATTGTCAACACAGACTATGCTTTTATAGTCTCTGTTCACAGCCATGTTGTTAGTGGAAGCAGAGCACGTCAGCGAGCAGATCACTCTGAAATTTTTTTCGATTAAACAGGTCATAAATATTTAATTTCAAACGATATATATATATATA